TTTCACAGGGTCTTAGTGATTGGGTTGCCTCAGCTGGGATCGAAGCAAGCAGGCACAACACTTGATTTCCAAAGCAAATTGTCGGTTTCCCGAAAGCAACATCCACTCACGGCAGTGTCTCCCGAGTCAACCCCCTTAAGCTAATATTTTCGAATAGACATGTTGGTGATGCTGGTGGTGCTTAGAAGTCAAGAGAGAGCGGGCATCGAAATCCACACGATCATCCGAGGCTTACCCTACATTTGAGGTCCCCAATAACGCTAGTGTCCACGGTCTCACTCTCCTCATGTAACTTTTCGACTAAACACTTCCCTCCTCCGAGGACTGGTGGGTACAATCGAGTGCTTCCCGTCTCCGACCCTTGCCAATCCCTAGAAATGGCAAAGCGGGCTCCATAAGACAGGCAGACATGAAATGAAGGTTTGCGTTCGTGGCTATCAGTGGGGCCATCACTGCTGCACTACTTCTACACCAATGCAGTAGTGAGTTTTGATTTGAATCACTGGGTGGACCTTATTCCACCGCACTACGTGGCATCTGAGATACTTTTAACAGTGAGACTTTCTCTGATCGCTGTGGGCATGCAGTCGTCCATCGTGACACCGTTGCAAAAGCATCATCCCTACCATGACCATCTCTGAAACATCAGCTATCCCTCACGGATCATGGGTCCTGGTTACTGGGGCCAATAGCTTGGTCGGATCCAATGTGGCCGATCGGCTGCTTAGTCGCGGGTATCGTGTTAGGGGAACCGTGCGGAATGCGCAGAGGCACCAATGGCTCGGAGATCTTTTCCGTGACAAGTATGGGAAAGACAGCTTTGAGCTGGTCCAAATCCAAGACATACAGCGTCCGGGCGCTTTTGGCGAAGCTATGAAAGGTTCGTACACACTACATCATCCACTACAATACCCCACTAGTTAGGTGCTCAACTGTACAATGCAAAGGTGTCTCGGGAGTGGCACATGTAGTAACCATCTTTGCCGGTTCAAACGATAGTCCGGACGAGGTATTCGAATCCATCAAACAGCTGGATTATAATATCCTTGCCTCCGCGGCGGCTGAGCCCAGTGTCAAGCGCTTTGTCTACACCTCCTCCTGCCAAGCGGCTAATACAATGGGCTTGGATGATCTGGATGGCAAGACAGTGATCACCTCGGAGACTTGGAACGAAACTGCCATTCAGCGAGCCAAAACGGGGTCTCCTGCCGAATGGAGAAGAGGATTTGACGTCTACAGCGCAAGCAAGGCCTTGGGGGAGCAAGGAATCTGGGAATGGGTGAGAGAGCACAAGCCCAGGTTCGTGGCAAATACTGGTAAGCACGTCTCTCCTTCCACTCTCAGAATATGTTCCAATAATCTAAACCATCATGTCCAGTTCTACCCTCGTTGTGCTATGGTGCCTCTCTCGACCCACAAAATCAAGGGTTTCCTTCCACTCTGTCATGGCCAGCAGCCATCATCAAAAATGACTGGGCCTCAGTTTCCGAACACGTGAAGGCCAATCTCCCAAATGGTACGTATGAACCGCATCCGTCGCCCCAACCGTTACGAGCAATGGAAGCTAATTCACGCTGAAGGAGGGTACTGTGTGGACATTCAAGACGCCGCACTTCTGCATGTCGCAGCTTTGATCAATCCCACGGTCCAAAACGAACGCCTGTTCGCGTATGGCTGGCCATTCTTCTGGAACGACTTAGCTACCATCTATCGCGATATATTTCCGAACCGCGAGCTGCCGACAGATCTGCCTGCTCGGGATAAGGACGCGGATCTATTGGATGTTAAGCCTTCGAAGCGGTCGGAAGATCTACTTAAAGAGATGGGCAAGCCGGGATGGAGTAGTCTCAAGGAGATTGTTGTGGCTAATGCATATGGTCTGGTTTGAGGGTTACTTCTTGGCAGGGTTAATCGTCGAACTCTGAAGCTCCAATCTGGTACTCACACTTACATACACATTTAGTGTGTCATTGAGCCTATTTGTACCCATGGGGAAGCAACTATATTGAACAATGGACTTTATTAGATTGCTCAATCAAGAGCACAATTAAGCACAAACGACATTAAACATTAACATATTCCGTAAAACCAAGTCCAGGCACCAGCATGATCTATCGCTTGACAAAATCACTCTCCTGTTCAAGCCAATCCCCAAAGTCCTTCAATCCCGGGTGCTTCTTCCTCAGCTCGCCAACGTTAACCTGGTAACCTTCGTCATGAAACCATCTGTACATATATCCCATATCCTTGATAGCGGCCAACAGCAAGGAACACACGAACTGGAATGTCATGGGTATCCGCTGACCGGTCTTCTGCTGAAATACCTGTGCCATCTGATCGAAGGTCAAATCATCTCCCGCCAGCGAGATCGCCCGACCCTTGTACTCATCCGGGTTAAGAAATGCTTCTGCGCCAAAGTGACCAATGTCGCTGACAGCAACCACCTGAAGAGGATTCCCCTTCAGTGCCATTTTCCAGGACGTCGCAAAGACCTTACCCAGGAAACCAGGGACCATGTTATCCATGAAGGCCACGGGGCGCAGAATAACCCAGTCCATATCGGTTCCCTTAGCTTTGTCCACCAGATGATGCTCGATGTGATGCTTCCTCAGAAAGTGAGGAACATCGGTCGGGTTGTTCCAGGAACGTTCCCCGCCACGATCCACGGAGCTGTAGACGAAGTACTTGACTTTTTGCTGGAGGGCCTCATCGATCAGTTTCTTTCCTTGTGCTTCCTCATCGACGTTGCTGCCGATGGCCACCTAGCAGGTACTGTTAGTATCTCATTGCTGGGATGAAGATTGAATGAGCGGAGAAAACCTACCTGAACACTAAAGACACCCCAAATCGGAGACGATGTCTGGGCGCGTGCATTGCGAAAGATTTCTGCTGGGTTGTCCAAGTTTCCTTCTACTAGTTTGATATTGGAAGACAGCTGTTTCAACCGTTGAGCCGAAGCGGAAGAAGAGTCTCGCGTGACGGCTAAGATCTCCAAGGGAGATTTTCGGGAGATGAGGTTTCGGATGAGAGAGCCTCCCTGTTTGCCGGTGGCGCCTGTTATCAGAACCGCGGTCATGATGGTGGATGTGTGGAGTAGTCGATGCGTGTAACTCTAGTGAAAATAGTACTAAGTATTGTCAAGACGATGTTGGATGATGGTGATGATGAACTGATGTTGAACTTGGTACTGCTCTTATCATGATATATATACTGAGGTAGGACAACATGATGTGACTCGATATGTCTTCCACAACCATCTTCACATAATCATCAACATCATCTAAGACGATTAAGTCAGCCTCTCGGGTTTCGGTCTCATCAATCTCAAAGATTGACAGATCAGTTCTGTGATCAATTGGTTGTCTCAAGAAGAGTTCCTCGATCGGAGTGGCTCCCAGTCCCGAGATGACTAAAGCGCCACCCGATCGGCCTTGAGATCAAGCCCGATGCTTATTCCTTTTGCTCTTCATGCACCCATGGCATCTGATGAAGTCACCAACTTTCCCCATGCCTCTTATCAGAAAAGCTCAGGGTAGAATAGCCGAGGAATGTCTATTTCATTAACTACCTAATCTTCAGCTTCACTCTGCTCAGAGTACAGACCACCCGAGTATGCTCCTGTGCTGCCCGTCCACCCACCCCACGGAGACCGAAGTGGGCTAACAACTCGCATAGAACATGGAGAGGATGATGAGTTCCTAGGTAATGACTTGATAATGGGGCATCTACAATCATCTATCAAGCAAGCTACATTGATCAATGATGATCCGGGATTACTACCCCGGTGATAAAGAGACAGCATAAAGATGGGGAACTTGCTTTATGCATAAATCCTCAATCATCCAGTGGGATCCACTTTTGTCTCATGACTCTGGCCTGATATTCGGCAACAGGCAATCCGACCGGAGCTTAACACTAATCAAGAACATCCGGCTTCCGATCAACGAGAGTCCCCATGTTATACATAAATACCCATGGAACCCATTCCCGGATTCCCAGCCTTCGGTATCCCGGCCACTATCTATCCAAACTCTAGCGCATAAACACCACCATTCCAACCATGTCCGGCCTCACAATCCATCACCTCCGCCTCTCTCAATCCGAGAGAATCACCTGGCTCTGCGAGGAGCTCGAGATTCCCTACACTCTGAAATGCTACAACCGCCAACCGCCCACTCTCGTGGCCCCAGATGAGTACCGCAAGCTCCACTGGTCCGGCACTGCCCCCATCATTGAAGACAACGGCGTCGCCTTAGGCGAGTCCATGGCCATCTTCGAATACATCCTGACCAAATACGGCAAGGGCCGTCTAGTTCTATCCCCAGACCACCCCAAGTACGCAGACTACGTCTTCTGGCTGCACCGGGCACAGGGTTCGACCATGCCATCCTTCATGGGGATGCTGTTCAGTCGGATGCGCGGTACCCCATCCGAAGAGGACTTTGCCTACAAGAGGTCTGAATCACAGGTGAAAGCCACCTGTGAGGCGATGGAGCAGCAACTAGCCAAGAACACATACTTGGCTGGAGAGGAGTTCACCGCGGCAGACTGCGTGTCTGTCTTCCACTTGACGACGCTGCGGCTGTTCATTCCCTACAGCCTTGAGGAGTATCCTCATATTGTGCGCTATCTGGAGCGTATCGGACAGCGTCCGGCGTACAAGAGGGCTATGGAGAAGGGTGATCCTGATCTGGTGCCTTTTTTGGCGGCGGCTGCGCCTGCTAAGGCGCTGCTGTGATGTGCAATTAAATAGTGTATATAACTGAAGTGTAAACTAGAATCTGATTTCGTATGTCGAGATACTCGCTATCAGGAATATGTAAAGTACTTACCTTCATGAAAGGGCACAAATTCTCTATAAAGTCTAGCTTGAATACCTTGGTATCAGGAGGACGGCGTGTGCAAGTGCAGTTTCGACTAGTCGCCATCAGATACTGCGATCGACACTGCTTCAGATACTATATCTCTCGTGAGGATATCAGGCATAGACAACAACGGACTCACTTCCTATCCAGTCTATCCAACCTCTCCAACGCCCGCCTCCTCCCCATCCTCCTCAACCAAACCCTAAGATCGAACACCCCCTCACTCAATTCCCCCCCCATCCCCAACAAACACAAATACGTGTCCATTCTCCCTCCCAGGTTCTTTCCCATCCGTATACACAACCTCACAAGACTCAGCACGATACCATCCCGTCTCATAATTCGCTAACTTTACCCCGTCCTCCACAGATGCCACACGATACACAACACCTTTGACTGCCGAGGAAGAAGTAATAGCCGGTATTATGGCCGGGTACTGTCCCCACAGTTTACAGGCGTAGCCTGTTACATACGCAGGTCGTAGATCTATCTCTTGATCTATGTCCAGGGATAGAATGTCTTGTAGCATGGAAGGATCCATCAGCGTGCCGTAGAGAAAGTATGGACCTGTTGGGGCTTTTGTTGTGGGTGGGGGAGGTGGTTGAGGGACTGTCAGGGAGCGGGGCGGGACGGTTCGGAGATTTCGTATGACTGGGGATACTTTCGTACGGGGGTCTGATGGGGGTGGAGGTGGAGGTGGAGGAGCAGTTTTGGTGACTGGAGGGGACATGGTGGTGAGATTATAGACTAAGGGGTGTGTAGACAGAGGTAGAAGAGGGTTGAGGGATTGACGATGGATCGACAACCGGGGAGGCGTGGGTAAGCGCCGACGGCTAAGAATAGACTACCGGTCGATCACGGAATTTCAACGTGCCATGCAATTGCAGATCAATTACATCAACAGAGACGGTCGTTACGCTATGGACATTCGAATGTACCTGGAATGTCTGTGTTAAATGTTCTCTTTTAGCCGAGGTATCAGGTGGGAAGGGATGTTCATGCAGCACATCTGTTACAGTAGACGAGAAATCAAGCTTCAAACATCCCAGTCATGGAGGCTGTTATCGGCTGTTACCGGCCGATAGTTAGTGGTAGCCAGATTTGTGACCTTGATAAACCCGGTTGGCACTCCACTTCTACACCAAGCACTTCTGACCCTTGCGTCCGCGGCAGGGAGGACAGGGTTTTTCAGCATATAACGCAACAACAGCACTGGAAAAAGCCTGTAAGAGGCTGTGGTTTCCAGTTGGACTGGCTCAGGATGCAACTCGGACTCGAACTTGCAATGCAACACCATGCTGTATCAACTATTATATCCCCTAGGGTGCATTTCCAGGTCGCACAAGGCACCCATGGAATGCGGAGTCCCGATCTTGTTCGCCGATAAGAACCTGTCAAACCAGCCCAGTGCCGTCTAGACTCTGGTAAACTCGGCTATAGCACATACCAAACGCACGATGGCCTCCGCGAGGGAGTGCTCCTTACTTCGAATCGTTGCTGGAGGGGTCATGAGATATTTTCCGCCACACTACGGCCCTGCGCGATTTTGCCGCAGACACGGCCCTATTGAGTGGCTTCGGTTGGGTATATAAGACCACTAATGGGGCCCCTCATGGGAGGAATTGAATCCAACCATGGGGCTCGTTGCGGACACCCGACAGGCCATCCGGGACTCCCCCCGGGGGGTCTTCAACTGGTACTTGTTGATGAACATTGCCATTTTCGCACTGTCTGGAATCAGTAGGGGGTTCGATGAAGGTAGAGAGTGAAGATCATATGTCATGCAGGGTGCTGATCTTCGCAGCGAACATCGCATCGCTGGTCGTGCAATCTCGGTTTCGGATCAAATTCGGACTCGGCCAGCAATCCCCCGACGAATATGCCAATACTAAGGGTTGGATTGTGTCAATGTTCACGGCTGGAATGACTCTGGGCTGTCTGCTAGTAAGCTAGCTACTCAGGAAATGAATATATGTCGGGCTGACAGCTACTGTAGTGTTTACCCTTCAATGACCGAATTGGGCGGCGGTGGACGATGCGACTGTCGACCCTAGTATATATCTCTGGAGTATTGGGACAGGGTCTCTGTAATGGGAACCTGTCCGGACTATACGCATCGAGACTGATCGCGGGTCTTGGGGTGGGCGGCTTGACTGTGACCCCTCCGATGTATATCTCCGAGGTACGCAAATGATCCTTGAAAGGGGACTGGAACAGACTGACTGTATTGCAGGTTGCCCCTAAGACCATCCGCGGGCTGCTCGCAGTCCAATTTGCCGCATGTCAGCAATTGGGGGTTGTTTTTGGGTTCTTCATCAACTATGGTATTACCAAGAACTACGATGGAACAGATATGCAGTGGATGTTCCCAACCTTGATCCAACTGGTCCCTGCCGCAGTCTGGGGCCTGGGACTCTTGGTCTGTGAAGAATCTCCGCGGTGGCTGCTGTACGTGGGTAGGCGAACCCAGGCCGTATCGGTACTGGCTAAGCTGCGTCATTTGCCCTCGAGTCACCCAACTGTAGTTGCAGAGATTGCTGTCATGGAATTTCAGATCCTGCAGGAGCGAGAAGCGGCCTCAGGCACATCACAATGGCACCTAATCAAGGAGACGGTTGTCCCGGTGGAGAACCGGCGTCGGTTCTGTCTAGTGATGCTGGCACATCTGTTTTCGCAATGGTCAGGAGGCAACGCCATCACGCAGTACTTGCCCACGATCTTAGGCTATCTGGGGACGACCGGGGATGCCTTGTCCCTGACTACGGCCCTCTATGCCGTGGTCAAGTTTACCGCCTTGCTGATCTTCTCACTCGTAGTGGTGGACTTTGTAGGCCGACGACGGTCTCTTATGGCGGGAATCACCCTTCAGATCGTGACGCTGGCATATCTTGCTTGTTACCTGGGAATTTCACGACAGATGTCGACAACGACCATCCTCCACGCGGCCAGCGCGACGCATGCCTCGAGAGCAGCGATCGCAGCCATCTTTGTGCACGGGGTTGGGTGGGTGATCGGATGGTTCTCGATGCCCTTCCTGATCGGATCGGAGATCTTTCCCATCCGGATCAGATCGCTGGCCTTGTCGATGGGGATGGCGGGGCACTGGCTGTTCGCATTTGGGTGCACGCGGGCGACACCTGACTTACTGGACGTAATGGAGGAATGGGGAGCCTTTGCATTCTTTGCGGGCATCTGCCTTGTCTCACTGGTGTATGTGTTTTTGGCGATGCCGGTAAGTGAAACAACTCCTTGGGTGACGGTGGAGGGTAGTGAGAGACAAACAATGGGGGAACTGACAGCACACAGGACACGACGGGCCGATCGCTCGAGGCACTGGATGGACTGTTCCAACGGCCGTGGTACACGGTTTATCAGGTAGCGTATGCAAAGGAGGAGGACGAGGAAATCGAAGTGCAAGCGATACAGGAACGGGGAAAGTCGGAGTTGGCGATGGTGGAGGAAGCATAAAGAGCAAGTTGGGCCACCATACGATTGATGGTTGGGAGGAGGGGGTTGTTGGTGCAACTGATCCCATCCTATTTTTTCCATGTATCATGAAGCACGTGGGTGGTGTGATTGTGAGAGTACCAGTAAGAGTAAGCTCTGATTAGTAGATTAGACGATGGAGCAACACGAATCATGGGAAAAATGCATAGCCACTCGGGTGTTATAGTCGGGTGTGATAATGATAATATTAAACTTCAGGAGGGAGTAGTAAAAGGACTCATGCGATGCGATTGCAACCCCGAGAAAGTTCAAGACCAGACCCTGAGAGGGAAGAAGAAGCAGAAAGAAACAAGTAGCGATTGGTGGAGGAATCCGAGATACTTTCTGATTTCAACCCCCAAAGGATCAATCCAGGAAGGCCAGCCGAGCAGTGCGACCAACGGCTTTGCCTTCATTGGCCAGTTGTGGATTAAGCTTGGCTGGAGGGGGAAAGAACAATTGAACACTGACTCAGTTGGACTTGAGTTCGTATTTAGTTTAACTAGTTACTAGTAGTTAACTCTCTAGTAACTACTATTTATACCCATAAGTACATACCCAGACTCGATAAGAATAGAGTGGTTGGTTACATCACTGCCAGCCATGTGTCAGCCCATGTGGGAAGGAGGAAGGAATTCATCCATGAAGGGTTTATCCCCAAGTTAGTATACAGCGACAAGATCTATCATATCATAACTACCCTATCACACTATATCCACCAGAGTGCAGAATGGTAAAAAAAAAAGTCAAGCTTTGGACATGATGCATGCACCCAACGTTTTTTTTTCCTTTTCCCTTTTTCTTAAAACAAACTCGCACAGACCTCTGAGAAGAACCACAGACCGGCCCTCCCATCCGACCCAGGGTTTCCGTCATTTTGCTCTCCGTCGACCTGAAAACAATTAGTAGGAGTGAATACTCAGTGGGAAGAGGGAATGGAACCAACTTCCAGACCCTGCTTGATGTCATCTTCTCTAAGTGGATACTCTCGGATATTAATAACCGGTGTCCGAGTTAGTGTGTCTCCATCTAATTACTAGTATTCTCCATCTTTATCCCATCCCATCTCTCCGCGTCCTCCGCCGCAATCTGGCTCTTTTCTCCCTCTCCCTCATCTTTCTCTCTTCTACTTCTCTCTCTCTCTCTCGCGTATCCTTATCTCGAGAGATACCTTTCGATTTCACACCCACACACCCACCTTCCTTCCTTGTCCTTCCTCAGTCTGACTTCCAACCAACTCACTTCCCATGCGCCATTCCCGGCGACACCCGAGCCATGGCGGAGGGAATGCGCGACGAGCAAGAAGGGCCATCGCGGGCCTCGACCGTGCCTGCCATCATCACCACCAACGCCTCGTCGTCCAGCATCATCCACCACGATTTATCCACCTCCGCCTCCAATAGTCCTACCATCTTCAATCGCGGCGATCACAGTCCCAGTTCTCCCCATCCTGGTCTCCTCCGCTCCTCGCAAAGTTTTCCTATCGGTACGTCCCAATTACAACCATAACTACTGCTGCCACTTGAACTTCCCTCCCCTACCTCCCGCAAGGCTCGCCCGGTCGCGCTGGCCAGTCATCTTTTTTCCATACCCTCCGACCGGACCCAAATCAATCGAATCACAACTGTGAGCATCGTTGGCTTACTCTTCCTCCGCCCGGGGGATTATCCTGTGCAGGCTCCGCCTCCGATGTGACCGCTGCGTCGAACGGATACCAACAGCATGCCAGAAAGGATTCCCGCACCCTTCCGGCCGCTAGCAACGGCTCCGTCAAGAATCTCGCCTCTTCCCCTACGTTTGTCCAGTCCAGCGCCGACTCCAGCGCCATCGATCCACTATCTCAAGTAAGGCTCATACTGTGTATCTTGTGCCTCTGGATTCGCCTCGGCGGTTGATTGACTCTTGTGCGTCGCGATAGCATATCATCAAACGAACCAACACCCAAAAAACCATTCCTCTGAAGCTGTTAGGGAGAGCCTCCACCGAGGCGGAGTTGGGCGGAAGCGATCCCACACGCGCCTCGTTGGACCATGGCTCTGCCCGCGGAGAGACCGCGATGTATACGAAGGCTCCGAAGGAGAAGAAGTAAGTGCCAGTTGGCCTCGCCCGGTGCCGAATTCAGCCAATGTTTCCCTCTCAGCCCCAGCTGACGGCGTGACCCCGCACTGTGTCACCCGTCGCTCGTTGCTTCTTATCCCATGCACTTCCTGCCCAGGAACCTACAGCTAATTCGGTGGACTTCCC